ACCACCCCACACCACCTGCACTACACCACCCACACCACGTCTCACCACCTGCACTACACCACCCCACACCACACCACACCACCCTGCACTACACCACCCCGCACCACACCACCCCACACCACACCACCCCACACCACACCACCCCACACCACACCACCCCACACCACACCACCCCACACCACCCTGCACTACACCACCCCACACCACGTCTCACCACCCTGCACTACACCACCCCACACCACCCTGCACTACACCACCCCACACCACGCCACCCCACGCCACACCACACCACACCACACCACCCCACACCACACCGCACCATGTGGCTACAGAACCGTGGCGTGCGTGAATGTGTGCTCACTGATGTTAGTCTGTAGGGAGCAGTGGGGCAGTGGTTAGCACACTGCTCTCTGAAACCATCAATCTGATCTCCATTTCCGCACCTGGCCACCTTCAGTGATGAATACCTGAACCGGTCCTGGGCCTCCCCTAGCCTTAAATCAGTATCCGGCATGGTGTGTAAACTTCAGAATTGGGGAGACAAAGGCGGCCGGGTATGGTGCTGGCCACCCACTCCCACGTGTGGCGTACTGACCTTCATAGGTGCTCGCTAACAGCACTTGCTCCTCCAGTCTGTTAAGGCTACACGGGGAACCTTTTGCTTTGGAGCGGCGGAGTGTTCACGCACTGCGCTACGAACCTAGCGACATCTGAACTGGTCATGGGCCTTACCTAGGTTGCCTCGGCCTTAAACGACTTCCTTAAGTGGTGTGTAAATCATCAGCACTGGGGGAACAAAGGTGGCTGGCCGTGGTGGTGGCAACACCAGCCCCTGGCGCATCGTACCTGCCTTAATAGGTGCTCGCTAACAACAGCGCTTGCCAAGACGGTCTGTGAATGCTGTATGAGCATCTTTGTCTTTTGTTGTCTCTTGTGTGTGCGTGCGCTCACACCCGCGTGTGTGCGTGCGTGTACCTGGGTGTGCCCCCCTGTGTGTCGCAGTGACTGCGAATGAGAAGCTACAGAGTCCCGGCCTCACGAAGGAGGAGACGGCTCCGTTTGTGGGTCGCGCACAAACGACCTCTGACCCCTCCTGCCTCTCCAACATGAGCACCGCTTATTGACCTACCACGCGTCACTTACCGATGAACTCATTCACCCACACACCCACGCACCCACTCATCCACTCCCTCACCCTCCCACTCACTCACCCACCCACTCCCTCACCCACTCCCTCACCCTCCCACTCACTCATTCACCCACACACCCACCCACTCATCCACTCCCTCACCCTCCCACTCACTCATTAATTCACCCACCCACTCCCTCACCCTCCCACTCACTCATTCACCCACACACCCACCCACTCATCCACTCCCTCACCCTCCCACTCACTCATTAATTCACCCACCCACTCGCTCACCCACTCACTCATTCACCCACACACCCAGCCACTCACCCACTCCCTCGCCCTCCCACTCACTCACCCACTCCCTCAGCCACCCACTCATTCACTCCCTCACCATCCCACCCACTCAATCTCCCACGTGTCACTCACTCACAAAGCCACCGAGTCACTCGCTCACGCTCCCACTCACTCACAAAGCCACCGAGTCACTCCCTCACCCTCCCACTCACCCACCCACTCCCTCACCCACTCCCTCACCCTCCCACTCACTCATTCACCCACACACCCACCCACTCATCCACTCCCTCACCCTCCCACTCACTCATTCACCCACACACCCACCCACTCATCCACTCGCTCACCCTCCCACTCACTCATTAATTCACCCACCCACTCGCTCACCCACTCACTCATTCACCCACATACCCAGCCACGTCACCCACTCCCTCGCCCTCCCACTCACTCACCCACTCCCTCAGCCACCCACTCATTCACTCCCTCACCATCCCACCCACTCAATCTCCCACGTGTCACTCACAAAGCCACCGAGTCACTCGCTCACGCTCCCACTCACTCACAAAGCCACCATCCACCACTGTCACCGAGTGAGCACGAAGCCAGTAGCCTCGACCTTCGCGCCTACTCAATTTCTCGCCGCGTCCCCCCCCCCCCCCCCGCCATGTGAATGTGTAATTTCCACCGTTGCCTAAGCAGCGTGACAACTGGGAGATAACCACCGCCCCAATTTCGATTTAAAGCTTTCGTGACTACAGGGATTCATCTTCCTGGTTCTTTCGGTAAAGTCACGTAGAAGGGAAATAATAAAAATAAAACATAATAAAATACAATTCTCACGACGTTTCGGCCACAACGCAAGCAGCCGTCCTCAGGTGAAGAACAGGTCTATCGGAAAGACAGCGTCTGAATGACGCTGTCTTTCCGACAGACCTGTTCTTCACCTGAGGACGGCTGCTTGCGTTGTGGTCGAAACGTCATGAGAATTGTATTTAATAATATTTTATTTTTATTATTTTTTTATTTCCCTTCTACGTGACTTTACCGAAAGAACCAAGAACACACCGCCCCAATGCTGCTTGAGCAGCAGGACATCACTTTGAGACTGCTGCGCGACGAACACTCCTGGCAGGGCACAGAACATCAGGCGTGCCACAAATTTTGCTTAACTGGGGTCGTGTCTGCGATTCACACAGAAGGAGACTGGGTCCAGCATCCCCATCGCGATCCCTGGCAAACCTCCGACGGAAACCCCCACTGAAAAGGCCGCTGGAAGTCCCAACGGCAGTAGCGGCGGTGAGTCTCGGGCGCAGGAGGCAAATGGATAACGAGTCGAGACTTGATTTAGAATCGATTCGTGGGTTACCCGTGCGCGTGTCCATAGCCCCACACCACTCTTCGCGTGCCGTGCCGGCCTCCAAAGGTGCCGCTCGCTCAGAGAATTCGGCCCGAAAGTCGGTTAACGCTGTAGGTTAACGCTGTAGGTTAACGCTGTAGGTTAACGCTGTAGGTGAACGCTGTAGGTTAACGCTGTACGGGTAATAATTGTCTTGTGGTGGGAAGCGACAGTGCAGTGGTTTGCGGACTGCGCTACGAACCCAGCGACCCGAGTTCAATTCCCACTCACGACCATTAACAGTGGAGAATGTTTTCATCGATCCTGGGCCTCCCTTACATCAACTTAGCCTTAAACAAGTACCACCTGCAATGTGTAAATTCCAGTACCTGGGGAGACGTAAGTGGGCGGGCGTGGTGCTCGCCAACCAACCCCCTCATGTGCCGTGCCGCACTCCATACATGCTCGCTAAAGACACTTGCCCCAACAGTCTGTTAAGGCTATACGGGCGATATTTGTCTTTGTGTGTCTCCGTGGTGAAATGTTATCTACCTCACCTGGTATACACGGGGTCCTGGGTTTGATCCCGACCCTGACGCCTGCTGTATATTTGGAGTTTGCGTGTTCTTCCTGTGCTCCAGTTTTTCCCTCCACGTTTAGAAACAATGCTTTTAGAGTATTAAACTGCTATAAATTATCCACGTGATAAGCCACTTCGTTGAGCTATCATTTGTGATAACCAGGTCGCTTTTGAAAAGGAGCTACATAGCTCAGTGGGCCTTACCAGGTAAAATAAAAACAGTAGTTAAGTTTAGTCAAGTGTGTGCCGTACATGTGTGTGTGTGTGTGCAGGTCAGCCATGTCCCAACCTGCCCCTCCCCCCCGCCGTTGACCCCCTGACCTCTGACCCCGTCTCGCTGTGCTCGAGCACCGAGCGCCCCCAGCCCACGGTGCTGGACTTCATGGACGACGCCGACGCCTTCCACAGACTGAAGGCCAAGTTGGATCCCAGCCACAGCATCATCAAGGTGCGACGCAGTGCCGCGGCGACCAATCGACTCGCGTCGTCCTTACCCCGCCCGCCCCCGCACCTCCGATACGCACGGTTGGCTACGTATGGTGTGAAAGAAGTTCAACATACATACATAGACTAGCATCAGACTGATAGACTCGCACAGGACCTAGAGACTTACGTACACCCATAGACTAACATAGGACCCCATTGGAACCTCATTTGCCAGTAAAAAATATGATAATTGGTTTTTTACCCTTCTATCTGGCAACAAAACTGACACCTATTTTTTACTGGCAAGTGAGGTTCCAATGGTATAAATGCTTACCCCGAGCTCTCATACTCTGATGGTGCATTGTCTTTGAGTTGTGCGCCTTTTGGTGTCATCTGGTCCAACCCATGTGAGACTAGGCTCTAAGGAAAGCAGTCTCGGGTGTGGACCAATCAACTTCAAGGACAGTGCACACATTATCAGAGTTATGTTTTTTGTTTGCATTATGACTGAAGGTATTGTGGTCTATGTAAACATGACTACTTGTAAAAAAGGTGTCAGTTTTGTTGCCAGATAGAAGGGTAAAAAACCAATTAACATAGGACCCGTAGACTATTATAGGATCTGCAGACTCTGGCATAGGACCCATAGACTAATGTAGACCCAGTGATGTTGCTATCGAGTATGGCCACTGTTCAGTGCACAGTAGATAAGATCAGTCGAAAAAAAAGGCACGTTTGCTTTTGCAATGCCACACAAGAGGAGAGATGGCCATCGTGTTACCCACCGACACGGCCACTGTGAAACCTATTCTTAGGTTTTTTTCGGTCAAGTCACGTATGTAAAAAATAAAATAAATAAAAGTAAAAGATTTATTTATTTATTTTTATTTTACTTTTATTAATGTACATTTTTTACCTACGTGACTTTACCGATAAAACAACCTAAGAATATGAATCCTTGCAGTCACGAACGCTTCAAATCACTGTGAAACCCGCTGCCGCCCGCAGAACTGGCGCCACGTGGGCTCACGCTGGGGCCTAAGCTACGACGAGCTGAGCCTGCTGGAGGAGCGGGGGAGGGGCGGCCGTAGTCCCCACCGAGGAGGTGCTCCTGCGCAACGGGCACCGCCCGCTGGCGCAGCTGGTGCAGCAGTGCCGAGACCTCAACCGGATCGACGCCGCCTTGCTGCTGCAGGGCTGGGTGGCGCAAACGTGGCGCCGGGGGTCACGGCAGCAGCAGGAGCAGCTCGGTCACTCGTGGCGCTAGCGGCGCCGGCGGCTAGGGCTGCCGGAAGAAGCTCCCGGGCACGAGGGCGCGGGACCTCGGGACGTCGGGCCGAACGACGCGTTGGCGGCGGCGGCGCCATCGCCACCGTGAAGCTTCGAGATATGGGTAGAATGGAAATGACGTGTAAATTAGAACGGGGACAATTAGTCGTTGAGGCCCGATCGATCGACGGATAATTGCGATCGACTACTTCTTACTCTTGCGACGGCGTGTGTCGCGAGAGAATTGATGGTTTTGATGCTTGTAAGTGGAATGCGGATGATGCGCTACAGATACGTTGAGGCGAAGAGAGCAAACGAAACCGTACCAACACGAACTTGACGAGCCATAAAAATAAAAAAATACAAAGGGCACGGTGAAAATTATACAGGAAAAAAAATTGGAGGCTTAAATCGAATCGCGATACTGAACGGTGACGATTTATAGAATCGCTGCGGGGCTGAGTTGTTCAGACATGCCTAGTCCAAAACGTCATCGGCACCGTCATCCTCATCAGGACGATCAACTTCATTTTCAATGGCGCACCAACGTCGTCGGACGCTAACGTCCAATTTTGTTTGGTTAAGGGAGCTCATGGGATGGCATGCGGTTAAGGGCGATTGGTTTGTGGTTGTGCGGATGATGTGAGGACAAATCCTACTCTTTTTGGCACATTGATCAAACGTTTACACAAGCGCTCACGTGCAAATGTTTTAAGCAGACCGGCAGTGCTGGGTTCACGTTACGGTTATGTGGATGGACGCAGCGGTAGTTACAGGAAGACGCAGCCCAAACAAGTTAATAAAAAAAAGCATACGCGTGGATTCTTCAACGTTTCCAACGTGCGTACGTCCTCGGAAGTATTTCATCAGCGGTGTGGAAACCGGGGAAAAACGCGATTGCATATTTGCAAATACTGTGATCCTTTTGCCTCTGGTGTTTTGTCTCCCAAGTTTCAGGCAACACTTTGACTAATTTGGCTAGTTTTCTAGATATACTAATAGGGGGTTTTCCCCTTTTTTTCTGGCAACAAAACTGACACCTTTTGCAAGGAATCATGCTTACATTAACCACAATACTTGCAGTCAAATGCAAACAAAATAATACTCTGATCATTTATGCATTGTCCTTGAAAACTGATTGGTCCACACCAGAGACAGCTTTCTTTAGAGCCTAGTATCATATGGTGTTCAACCAGATGACGCCAAAAGGCGCAAAGGAGGTCCCATGATGTAGTTTTCTAGAGTTCTAGAGGGCAAGTCCCTGATAATGGTAACACAACCAAGATACGACCCATGTCTTCAATTGATATAACCTGCAGCAACACGAGGCTCTCTTCTCTCTTCAAAACAGGTCCCCAAACAAGCTTTGTTTCTTCACGACGAGCATCTTGGCCGCACTAATCGGACACTTGAGGGCAATGTGTTTGACCTGGCGGGCACTAATTTAAGCACGTGCCCAGTCACTCCTGTCACTGCGAGGGCCTCGCAGAACCTTGTATAAATAGGACCCAGCATCTCGGCAGCACTAATGGGGGCCCGGAGGGCAATTTTTTCAACCTGGCGACAATCAATGCGTTTCTAATTTCGGCATGCTTGGTCGAATTCTGTCACTGCTTCTTCTTGCCCGGTCAAACACGCACGTTTTATTTTTAAAGTTTGTAATTTGGTCGCGATAAGGGGTGTGAGTCTAGTGAGGTGGCCTGCTACATATATGTGAGAGTCATGTTGGGCCCTTCGTAAGGAAAAGAGGTTCTCCACTCCGGTTCTGCTCGAGTAGTTGTTCAGGATTTTTTTACGCGTGTAATTATTCCTAGTATAATAATAGGGTTTCCCCCTTTATTTCTGGCAAAAAAACTGAAACCTTTTTACAAGGAATCATGTCTGCATTAACCACAATACTTGTGGTCAAAATGCAAACAAAATTTACACTCTGATAAGAAATGCATTGTCCTTGAAACTGATTGGTCCACACCAGAGACGGCTTTCTTTTGAGCCTCGTCTCAATTGGTGTTGACCAGATGACGTAGGGTGGGTTTTAATGTGGACTGTGTAAAAGGTGTGTTTTGATGTATCTTTGTTTAACACAGAGTTAACTAAGCTTGGAAAACAAAAAAAACCCTACTTGGTATGCTGGCTCATACTAATGGAAAGTACAGACTTTGCACTCCGTGGTAAATGTTACGTAGATAAGAGTTTTGTTTTGGATGTTTTATAATACGTAAATGGTGGAGCTTTATATATAAAATGTTCTGAAGTTACCTCTGCTGTATGTGTTTGTGTTATGGGATTAGACTTACATCGCGTTTATATTCTATTGCATTATAGTGAACTTCTTTCGCACTGTACGTAACCAACCGTGCTAATCGGAAGTGCATTGTTGAGTCTATGGGTAGTGCTGAATCTATGGTCAGTGTTGAGTCTATGGGTAGTGTTGAGTCTATGGGTAGTGCTGAGTCTATGGGCAGTGCTGAGTCTATGGGCAGTGTTGAGTCTATGGGCAGTGTTGAGTCTATGGGCAGTGTTGAGTCTATGGGCAGTGTTGAGTCTATGGGCAGTGTTGAGTCTTTGGGTAGTGTTGAGTCTATGGGCAGTATGAATACAGATTCTGACTTCTAATCTGCGCATATCAACAGTTTAAAGTCAATGGGCAGGTGACGTGCACAGGGATAAAGTGTGGCCACAATGGGGTTATGAGAGTTGGAGAGTGCACGAAATTCAAACAGTGGGGCCTGATAAGAATTACATTTGAACTCTCCACATCGATATAAATAAAGGCTTTAGTCTGTACGTCTCAATAATCTCTAGGGGTACTTCCCGACAAGGTAGAAAGTTTAAATTTGGTACCCAGGTAGCTTTTAGGGCACAAACAGCAGAGAAAAGAAAAATCTTAAAATACGAAAATTTTTATTTTAAGGGCCCCAAAATCTCGATTTTGAGTTTCACATAAACATGTTTGTGCGTGGTGTCATGCAGAAACCGTTCAATTCCATTTTTTTGTTCGATCGAGCGTTACATAGCAAATACAATTAAAGCGAGAATCCATTCTATCTTTTATTGTTTTTCACATATTTCGGATTCAAGCGGTTTTGAACGAAAAAAATCCGCATTTTTTGATGTTCAAATCTGAATAATTCGAAAACGGCAAAAGATAGGAGCTTCCGCCTCATTGAGTATTAAGTTCATAAAATGTTCTTTCTAAAAAAAGAACAATCTTTAAATTGATGGGTACGATTTTAAATACAAGAAATAATTAAATCAAGTCGTCACCAATGTGTTTCTTTCTCAGAAATGTTTTTGGAGTAGTTGTTCGTGTCTGATCGTAGACAAAAATAGTTTAAAACATATCAAGTTAATTATTATATCTATTGCAAAAGTTTGCCTGGCGAATGACCTTTATGAACCAGTAATTAAAATACACGTGTCCGTGTGTCATTTCTTCGGACACTAATTGCTCACTACGACCCCTAGTGGCAGGCCGCCTCTCTCGCAGTGCATCCTCTTCCTCGTTCCTCTGTGCTTCCAATTCAACAGCAACAGCAGAAGCAACAGCAACAACAACAGCAGAAGAAACAACAACAACAACCGAAAGTAATTCCCCGTCACTTAGGCCCTTATCATCATGGAAACGCTCCAGGCCCTGGAGCCTCACCGCCTGCTCAACGTGAGTAGGCCCAGACACCGAGGGGCCACCGTACCCCGAAGCCTCGGACTTGCCTGGATCGGCTGCCGGGAAAGGCGCGTGGGGACCCGGGTGTGGGGACCCGGGCGTGAGGGGGGTGATAACGATAATTGAATACGCCACTTAAACCCGGTTGGGGCTTTCAGACTGATAGGGGAGCCGCTGGGATACTCGCCGATGTTACGCTTAGATTCAAATGCATCTCCACATCCATAATACAGGGCTTTATCGCGTAAAATATGAATGTGTCGTTAAACCCGCCACCACCCGACACGGCCAAATAGTAAGGTTTGTCACGTAAACAAACGTGCCCATTCGTTACTTGTAACAGCACTAACCGGTCGTGTGTTGGAGAGTAAACCCACAACAACATTTTACAATTGGAGTACGACGTTTCGCCAGTAATCACAACCTCCATCAAGCGCATAATCCTGTTGTGTCGGTCTTAAATTAGACACGGGATGGGGAACACATTGTCCTGCGGAGGGAGCTGGTAGGAACGTTGGGTTGCTCGGTCAATGGCCTGCAGGGTCAACGGCGGCGTGGTGTATTCCGCAAATATGGCCGACTGTGAGGGCGGGCACAAGCCGGCGTGAGTAGGTTAAACGTTGAGTTTTATAAGGGCACCACGGGGTGACAGGCCCCTCCCCACCCAGCCCCACCCCTCCCACCCCCCACCCAGCCCCACCCCTCCCACCCCCCACCCAGCCCCACCCCTCCCACCCCCCACCCAGCCCCACCCCTCCCACCCCCCACCCAGCCCCACCCCTCCCACCCCCCACCCAGCCCCACCCCTCCCACCCCCCACCCAGCCCCACCCCTCCCACCCCCCACCCAGCCCCACCCTCCCCACCCAGCCCCACCCTCTCCCACTCAGCCCCACCCTCCCCACCCAGCCCCTCCCCACCCTCCCCACCCAGCCCCTCCCTCCTCACCCAGCCGATTCGCTATGAAGCTCTTTTCACAGGTGTCCAGTATGCGACCAGAGGTCGCTTGAAGAGACCTTAAGAGGTAGCGCTGTGATATCCGCTTCTGCGGGCCGTTCTCTAATACGAAGAAGGGTCACACTGCTAGTCCAGTATGGACGCCTGTGAAAATTAATTATCGGGAGCAGGAATGTACCCAAGGTAAAACGCAGGAATACATTTTAAAGTGATGGCTTATTTTTGCACTGTCAATGGATGGTGAGAATACACTATCAGCTTATGTACACCATTGGAACCTCATTTGCCAGTAAAAAATATGATAATTGTTTTTTTACCCTTTAATCTGGCAACAAAACTGACACCTTTTTACTGGCAAATGAGGTTCCAATGGTGTAAATGCTTACCCCGAGCTCTCATACTCTGATGGTACATTGTCTTTGAGTTGTGCGCCTTTTGGCGTCATCTGGTCCAACTCCATGTGAGACTAGGCTCTAAGGAAAGCTGTCTCGGGTGTGGACCAATCAACTTCAAGGACAGTGCATACATTATCAGAGTTATTCATAATCAACGATTTTTGGGTTTAGATCGCGTTTATTTATAAATGTGTCGTAACCCTCCACCACCCGACACGGCCAATCAGTAAAAAATGTGTCACGTTGACAAAGACAAATAGTTCACTGCTTTAGCCCACCGGTGTGTTGAAGCAACAACATTCAACACACCGGTGGGCTAAAGCAGTGAACTATTTGTCTTTGTCAACGTGACACATTTTTTACTGATTGGCCGTGTCGGGTGGTGGAGGGTTACGACACATTTATAAATAAACGCGATCTAAACCCAAAAATCGTTGATTATGAATAACATTGGTCGCGAAAGCCTACGTGTTAAACTGATTATCAGAGTTGTGTTTTTTGTTTGCATTATTGACTTCAGGTATTGTGGTCTATGCAAACATGACTCCTCGTAAAAAAAGGTGTCAGTTTTGTTGCCAGATAAAAGGGTAAAAAACAATTATCAGCTTATGTACAATTGTGTAATTGTTGCAAAGCGCCTTGGAATTATATTAGCTACACCTTGCAAACCCAGTTCACACTCTGGCTCTCGGCGGTGCGAGCTCCACGCTCTTCTGAGGCCCCACGCGGCCACCTCTTAGACTCGTGTTCTTCGTGTGTTTGTCTCAAGGTGCCACCAACAATCTACTACGTGCCGGACTTCTTGTCGCACGGCGAGGAGGAGATGCTGCTGAGAGAGGTGACAGACACGGGGCTGCGAACGAAACTCACCTCAACTAAAACTAAACTATTTTTTATTTTACAAGGTTAGGCTCAATGAGCTAGGTAGATTTTTTTTTACAAGCGACCTGGCCACAAATTATAGCTCAATGAAGTGGGTTATTACGTGTACATTTATAGCAGCCAAATAATCTTAATGCACGTTTTTAAATGTGGAGGGAAAAACCGGAGGACCCGGAGAAAAATCCACGCGACCACGGGGAGAGACACGCAAACTCCAAAAATAAAGGCATCAGGGTCGGGATCGAACCCGTAACCTCCTGTATACCAGGCGAGGTAGTTAACATCTCACCAACGTTCTGCCCTTACCATCGTCACAGCTTCGTCGCAACCTCATCACTATTCCTGTTGTCGGGAAATGACCGCGTGATTTGCAGTCCTCACTGTATGCTCCGCCTCGTCTGCAATGGATCACATTCTAGATTTGAAGCTTTCGTGACTGCAATGATTCATATTCTTAGGTTTTTTCGGTAAAGTCACGTAGGTAAAAACATTAAAAAGTAAAATAAAATAAAAATAAAAATCACGACGTTTCGGAGGCAACACAAGCTTTCGTCTTCAGGTGGTACCGTCACAGCCACGACAGCTGTATCAAGTAAATGAGAGATTGCAGGAGTTACCACTGCGTTTATATAATGGTTGGAGAAGGTGGTGGGGCAAGGGCCGCATACTTATTATTAATATGGTAAGGTGAGGCTTGAGACTACAAAAACCTAAGAATATGAAAATGGATCACATCTTCATCACATCATCACAACCTCATCGGAGGCGGGTCGCGACCTCATCACGAACGGATCATACACTCTTCACAACCTCACTATAAATCTTCGCCACCACCCTCATCACAGCCTCATTGCAATCCTCATCACAACCGCATCGTACACTCTGTACGACCCTTATTGCAATCATCATCACGACTTCATGAGCCTCGTCACAACTCGTTGTATGAGGTCATCAGAAATGGACCGCAGCCTCTGCTCGTGTTGCAGGTGTACAAAGCGCCCAAGACCAAATGGACGCAGCTGTCTGGACGTCGACTGCAGAATTGGGGTGAGGACCCTTGTCATCATCGTCATCATCATCGTCACCAACATCAACAATGGTTTTTCTACTGCTGGATGGCTTCATCACCATCAGCAGCAGAACTAGTCAATCCACAATGCTGGATGAAAGCCTCTCCAAGCAGTTGTCCATTCGTCCTTCCTGGTCTGGCAGAGCCACAAAATCGATCTCACTCCTGCATACAAATGATCTTTATCACCGCATAATACGTGCATGCACACGTACACACGTTTATATGTGTCAGTATACAATCTGAAAATTGTTCGAAAAAAATCATGCTTCAATCTGTAACTCATCTGCTCATAAAAACGCTTATTGCTGGTGATGGTGACTACGACAGTTATAATGTCGATGATGCGAATAGAAATGGTGTTGTTAATGAGTACGATGATTTTTAAAATGACAGTGTTGATGATGATTATTTTGATGATGCTGATATTAATATGAAGTTGATGATGTGCATAATGTTGACAACGATATTGACAATGATGCTGTAAGTGATGCTGTAAGTGATGATTATATAATAATGTTAGTGATGGTGGTTGTGACGACGATGATGATGTTGATGATGATGTTGATGGGGTGCAGGGGGCCTGCCGGACCCACGGGGGATGCTCACGTCCCCTCTGCCTCCCTGGCTCGCCCGCCCGGCCTCGCGCCTCTCTTCCCTCGGCCTCTTTGACGGTCGCCAGGCCAACCACGTGCTGGTTAACGAGTACCGCCCGGGCGAGGGCATCATGGTGAGAGCCCTTTCTCTCGCGTGGGTGTGTGCGCGTGTGTATGGGGAGCTCAGCCACCGCATGCCAAAACAGCTTTTGTTCGGCCGGTTCGAAGGGGCTAAATGAGCACGGCACGGGCTAGAGGGGAGATGGAGTGATGTGGTACAGGAGGACGTGGAGCTGAGTGGACTTGCCGATGACTGGTACCAGCGGTGTCAAGATCGGCCTCTGTGGAGGAGGCTCGTGAAGGACGCTACTGGGCAGTTGGAGGCAGTCGCCCTCCAGCAACAACGGAGGGCGGAGGAGCGACGCTCACAACAACGAGCGGAGCTCCAGGTGGCTAAAGCACAGCAAGTTGGCACAGTAGGGGGCATAGGTGGTGCATCAGCCAGTCATCTCGGTCATCTCAGTCAGTCGACCCGTGGCAACTGGGTCTGCCCCGTGACCTCCTGCCAGCGGGCTTTCGACACTTCACGTGGCCTCAAGGTGCACATGGCCTGGCACAAGCGTCGTGGTGACGTCACCGCCACTTAGTGGCGAATGGCGGTTGTTGTTCTATGGGGTGCGGTGGCGCAGCGGTTAGCGAATTGGGCTACTAAACCGGCCACCCAAGTTCGATTCCCGCTCACGGCCAACACCGCTGACGATTATCGGAACTGGTCCTGGGCGTCCCCTAGATCGACTCAGCCTCAAATGAGTACCTGGTGCAGTGTGTACACATCAGCACTGGGAAGACCAAGGCGGCCGAGCGTGGTGTGCCATGCCAGCAATCGTAGGTGCTCACGAACAGCACTTGCCACAACATTCTGTTAAACGCTACACGGGGGATCTTTTTGTCTTGTCTTTTCGCAGCCTCATGAGGACGGGCCGCTCTACTACCCCACCGTGACGACGCTCAGCCTGGGCTCCCATTCCGTGCTTGACTTCTACCCCACCGTGCGCTCCACTCAGGTCCCCACGCACCCTAAGCAGAGGTCGCAACCGATTACCCGATACCCGTACCCTACCTGATACCCGGCTACCCGTACCCGGCCAGGTACGGGTAGCCGTTTGCGACCCTGGTGCGGCCGGGTACGGGTACGGGATAGGCCGTGAGTCACTGGTGAGTCACCGTTTGTCACTCATTTCGGGTAGGGTACGGGTAGGGAACAGGTACCCGTACCCGGCCGGGTACGGGTACGGGTACCCATTTGCGACCCTGGTGCGGCTGGGTATGGGTACGGGTAAGGAATCAAAACCCGTTTGCGACCTCTGACCCTAAGCCACTGCCTCCCTCCCACACCCCGCTAACCGCAGGCTGCAACATAACCTACAGCTGGGGCTGACAGCCCATTGCTTGCCCAGTCGATTACAGTATTCCCTCGTTCTTCACGAACTTGATATCTGCGATTTTGGCTTTCCTGCGAATTGCATTTGGGACTCTACACGACTGCTTTGAGAGAGGGAGAGAGAGAGAGAAAGACAATGATGAGATAAAGTGGTGAGAGAGAATGTGATGAGATAAAGTGATGAGAGAGAATGTGATCACCGGAACGTATCCCTCGCAAATAGCGAGGCAATACTGTACTAAATTGTTACAGGCCAGGATCATGATTTAACTGAAGTATTCCCGTTTGCATTAGTATTGACTTGTAATGCTTGTCATGTTTGTCGCGTTTGTGCCGTCTCATGTGTATTGTTTTGTTGTCTCGATCAGATCATCGGACTAAAGGAGATATTTGAATTTAATGTATGGCAAATGTAAACAATCGATTGTCAACACACACAGCGTGATACATTTATCTTGAGCTTAAGAACTGACGTGAATCCACGAATCGATTCGTGACTCGTAACAATCGACTTAATTCAATGAGGTCGGGGCTTGATTTCAGCCCGCCCAACGACATGGAAACCTTTCCACGCCTAGCACGCCACATCCAGGTTACGGCTCACTATGAGTGTGCTACTAGTCACATACCCATTCTAGCTTACTTAGTCACGAGTCTGATCAAGCCAACCTGCCACCCGCAAAATATTCCGTGAGATATCGAACCCTGTTTGAACTGATGCATCTTCATCGCACACCTTATTGAACCCCCATTTCTCCATCCTCACCGCCAGCCCGTCCTCCAGGAGCCCGACGGTGACCCCGAGTGCCCGACCGCTCGCTCGCCCGTGTTCAGTCTGCTGCTCGACCGCCGCAGCCTGCTGGTGCTGCGCAACTCGGCCTACACGGAACTGCTGCACGGGATTAAACCTGTCATGGCCGACGACGTCGCCACCACCGCCGCCGGCGCCGCCAACCTCGCGCTGGTGCCGTGGGCAAGCGCCGGGGCCGGTGGGGAGGCGGCGGTGTGGCCGGCCCCGCGCGGGACGCGGGTATCGCTCACTATCCGTCACGTGCCTCGCACCGGTGCGCGCACCCGTCGTGCTGACGGGGAGGAGGTGACGGAGGAGGAGGTGGAGGAGCTGACAGAGGAGGATACGGAGGCGACGGAGCTCCACATCCTCCTGTACCGCATCTGCCCATCTCTTCTCCGGCCCGTGCCGCTCCCGTTTCGCCCCTTCTATCCAGCCAAACAGAATTCTGCTTGGCCATGCGGTGGCTGGGCATGCGGGCTACATGACCCAGCCGACGCAACCTCACCTGCCGGAGAAGTTCACCGATGGGACTGTGTCGAGGTCTTTCGAGGATCTGTGAGCTCCTGATATAATCCAACCTGGTTAAACCCAAGATGGATCGTGAGTAGGCCAGCCTGAATGTCTCAAGCCGGCATAGACGTTCCTGTAAAATTGTCCAAGCTTCTCAAGCATACAGAAGGGAGGGCATAACTGTGACAGTGAAGACCTGGACCTTCGCATAAAGCAGTAGGCCAGACAGCTTCCATGCAGCGTTATGCAGTTGATGAAAAGATAATTCCGCTAAACTGATTCGAAGTTAAACATCTTGCTGAACTATAGCTGGTCATATGCATAATGCCCAGGGTGGGGCACTGCTGTACTCTGTACAACTGCCCAATCACCCATGGAGAGTTGAGGGGGGTGGAGTGTTTGACGATTTCAAATACCCAGGCTGGTGGCTTGTTTTAGTCGGGCCCGATTTTAAGGCTGGTGAACAATTTAATTAGATATCACTCTTTGCTTTTTGACAGAAGTGTTGAGATTTTGTATGCTTGGAACCACACGGAGAGTCAGAGGAACACATGGGTCAGGGAACACGCGCGCATCCTCTTGTGAAGTGGGCTTGGTCAGGACACAAGGTGGCTATGGGGGCTAACACCCGACGGATGGGCCTGCTGACAGAGCGCCAACAAGAGGAGGGAACGCAGACCCTGGGTACGGAGCGCCGAGAGCAGCTCTCATGCAAATTGGATTGCGACAATGCGGGGGGGGGAGTCCCTTCATCCAGCAGTGGATCAAACAGGGCTGATACGAGACTCACTTCTGCCACTGAAGAAACAGCTTGCGTGTGCAAGACTTGATCGGGAGGTTGTCTGACCGTACTTCACCATGCCGCTCGGTGTGGTTTCATGAAGTGGAGGGGGTGGTGGCGGTGTCCTGGACCGGTTGAGGCATTGCTCGCCACCGACGCACACCGTGACCGGGAATCTTAACTCGGGTGGTCGAGTTCGTCGCTCGGCACACACAATCTACGCGGCTCCACTGCTCCACTCCTGTATTCTGCCAGAATAAAAGCAGCTCACCATTGTATCTTCTCCGTGTGTGCATTTCAATCGCTTGTGGCCGCGTTATGTGTGCCGTGTCGCCACTGGGACGCCCACGTGAATGGCCGGCTACGAGAACTACAGAAGTCACGCGGTTGGTTGCTCGTTGTGAAATGTGTTCGCGCGAAGAGACCGACGCGGCCCATGTGACCCGGCCCTCGTCGGGTCTCGAAAGCTCAGCGGGAATGAGCCTGGGTAGCTCTTGAATATTGGGAAGCCACTGGAGCTATGGACTTTTAAATCTAGATTAAAAGCTCATTTCTTTACAACTGCTTTTTGTAGTGACCTCGTGGAGCCTGACCCCCCAGGTGAGATGGCCACCTGGTGCAGCAGTTCTGTGTTTGGGCATTAGGCGGTGACCATCTTATCTAGGGGTACAAGTTCAATCGGTGGAAGGCAGGGGTAGTCAACATGCGGCGTTATTTACATATTGAGTTTCTTACCGAATTTAGAGAAAAATTGCCTCCTTTCGTAATTTTTATTGCCAGCCCCTGGTGTAAGGCCAACAGATTTGAGTCGAGAAGGAGACAAAGATCCCCCGTATAGCCTTAACAGACTGTTGGGGCAAGTGCTGTTAGCGAGCACCCATGAAGGCCGGAAGGGTACACGAGGGGGTGGGTGGCCAGCACCACGCCC